GAAAATAAAGTAAGAGATATGTACAAAGGTATAAACAGATCACGTAAATATGTAGGGCCCGTAACGTCTGGAATTAGGGATGATAATAACAATATTCTGACCGATCCGGTTGACATATTGAATAAGTTTAAGGACCACTTTGACAATATTTTAAATACGGGAAATTATGATCTGTGTCCTCCTTCTGAGTACCAGAGTGCTGAACCGTTAATAGAAGGACCAAGTAAAGAGGAAGTTGAAGTAGCTATCGGAAAATTAAAATCATATAAAGCAGCGGGAACCGATAATATTCCTACTGAACTAATTAAGGCATGCGGGGAAGCTGGAGTTTCTAAAATACATCGGTTGGTTAAAAAGATCTGGGTGAACGAGAAATTACCTGAAGAATGGAAAGAATCTATTCTTATTCCGATTCACAAAAAGGGTCCGAGGACGGATTGTAATAACTATCGAGGAATTTCACTCCTTCCGGTATGTTATAAAATATTCACTTTAATCTTAACCAGTCGAATCACGGAATACGCCGAGGAAATTATCGGAGAATACCAATGCGGATTTAGACGGAATCGTTGATGAATATTGATCAAATATTTTCTTTACGGCAAATATTAGAGAAAAAATTGGAGTATAACGGTATTGTTCACCAGCTGTATATAGATTTTAAAAAGGCTTACGATTCTATTGACCGCCAGAAACTGTTTAATATTCTAATCGAGCAGGGGATTCCAAAAAAACTAGTAAATCTAGTCAGGATGTGCTTGACGGAGACACTCAATAAAGTTAGAATCGGTAATAATTTGTCCGAAAAATTTGAGGTTCGTTCGGGCTTAAAACAGGGGGATTCTCTTTCGCCTGTCCTGTTCAATTTGGCATTAGAACATGCCATTAGGGAGGTAATGCGAACCGAGAAAGGGTTGGATCTGGGCGGGACAACATCCGTGCTGGGCTATGCTGATGATCTGGTACTGTTAAGCGATGACGTTGAAACTATAAAACTAAATACGACAACGTTAATGAAAGCCGGTAAAGAACTAAGACTCGAAATAAACGTGGATAAAACAAAATATATGGTTAGCTGCAAAAATGGCGATACTACTGGTGATATCGATATAGACGGTAATATGTTTGAACAGGTAGAGAAATTTAGGTATCTAGGTTCTACAATAACTAGAAAGAACGAAATTGAAGAGGAGATTAAGGTTAGACTGAAGGCGGGAAATGCTTGTTATTTTTCTGTGACAAAACTACTTAGTTCGCGCCTCTTGTCCCGGAACTTAAAAATTAGAATATATAAAACAATTATCTTGCCTACAGTTCTTTATGGATGCGAAACTTGGCCGCTTACATTAAGGGATGAGCAGCGTCTTAAGGTTTTTGAAAATAAAGTATTGCGTAGAATATTCGGACCGAAGAAGGATGAGTTAACCGGAGAGTTCAGACGGTTACACAACGCCGAATTGCGTGAGCTGTATCCGGGTAATATAATTGAGGTAATTTCATCGCGGCGAATCAAATGGGCTTGTAAAGTTGTTGGGCTTAGTAACGAGAGAATTCCTAAAAGGTTAATATTTGCTGTGCCGAATGGTAAGCGTCCGAGGGGTAGACCGAAGCGAAGGTGGGAAGATTGCATTAAAGCTGATCTGAAGGAACTGGGTTTGGACGGTGAACGGTGGAGGGAGGTGTGTAACAAGCGATTGGTGGTGTCGGCATCGAACCTCGGGTTCGCTAAGCCTTATTATCATTATTAACCCAGGTCCGAGCACTGAAGCTTTCAAGTACTGACACATTTGGTAGGTAAGTGAAAGGTGGGGGAATCCCAATTATCCTTTTTCAGATAGCAAAAGGTAGGTAAATATAGTCAGAGGGGGGGGGGAGGAGGTAACATTTCTGTTAGTAGAATGTAAATAATTTGTTGACTAAATATTTAAGTTGTGTACAAGATTTTCGTTGTTTCTTATGGTTACAGAATTGTGAATATTGGCTAGTAATGAAATGAACATAAGCAAGAGGTGCCAATCAATATAAATATAACATAGTTTGATTAAAGGTATACAATGGTTAGCCAAATAATATTTATAATAAAGACAATTGTAATGGATTGAAAAGATACGTAGGATAATATATTGTACAGTATTTTAAAAATAACAATATTAATCATAATAGAATTATTAGAATAAGGATTACATAGTTTTAATAGTGTAAGTATAAACATAACTGTGTCAGTTCATAGTATATATTCATATTGAGAATGGGCATTATATGTGTATATATATATATATATATATATATATATATATATATATATATATATATATATATATATAATAAACGTAGGAGCAGTAACCAATGTAAGTTGATGGGGAAATGGGGAAAATGAAAAACAAAATTTTAATGATTATAAACTTTGGTTTTAGGAGGCGGAAAATATTCGAATATGTGTTGCAGATCTTTTCTTTGTCTACTTTGAGGTTTACTGGGTTATTTTTTCCCAAATTGATGAATATAACTTCGGAAAGCAGTCATTTTTGGTGATTGGGAACTGAGGCAAGTATGGTTGGGTTTTCAAAATCAAATATGTGGTTGAGTTATGGCATGTTCGGCAAGTTTCGAAGCGAGCGGGTTTTGTGTGGAGATGCTGTATTTGTGTTGATTGATATATTCGTTTTTTTAAATAGTTTTTCATTTCTCCTATATAAGAAGAATTGCAGTCTGGGCTAGAGCATGTGATATGGTATACAATATTTAATTGTTGTAGGAGTGGAACAGGATCTTTGAGTTTGGTGGGTAGATTTCTTAATTTATTGTTATTTTTGAAAACTATTTGTAGATGGGAGAATTTTGAAGTTAAAGCTTTTTTGAGTAGGTATGTTTGGTGTATGTATTTCAACGGTAAAATGGAGTCGAGGGTACTATTATATATATGTGTAAATATAATGTTCATTCTCAATATAAATATAAACTATAAACAGATACAGATATGTTTATACTTATACTATTAAAACAATGTAATCCTTAATATAATAGATACTTCTATTATGATTTATATTGTTATTTTTAAAATACTGTAGAATATATTGTCCTATGTATCTTTTCAATCCATTACAATTGTCGTTATTATAAATATTATTTGGCTAACCATTGTATACCTTTAATCTATATTTATATTGATTGGCACCTCTTGCTTATGTTCATTTCATTACTAGCCAAAATCACAATTCTGTAACCATAAGAAACAATGCAAATCTTGTACACAACTTAAATATTTAGTCAGCAAATTATTTACATTCTACTAACAGAAATGTTACCTACCTCCCCTCCCTCCTCTGACTATGTTTACCTTCCTTTTGCTATCTGAAAAAGGACAACTTTTCACTTACCTACCAAATGTGTCAGCACTTGAAAGCTATCAGTGCTCGAACCACGGTTAGTAAGAGAAAATATTTAAAAAATTTATAAATAGATTATATATTTTTTTTTTGGTTTGTATAACTTTTTAAATATTTCATTTTCAATATTGTGTATTGTAATAATAGTTAAGATTCATGTACAATCAACCACTAAAGTTTATTATTTACAATTATCGGTCATATAATATTATATCTCTGATTGTATTTTAAAATTGTCAGCCCTGAAGATGACCCACATGTTTGGGTTGAAACGGCACAAATAAAAAAAATTTTTTTTTTTATAATGACTGCGATCTGACTATTTATCACCCATGATATGTAGAACAGTCAACTAGCTTCCTTCAACAAAATAATTATTTTTATTTTAAATTTAATAGTTATTGTGACAACAGATTTTTTTTTAAAGTGAAAAATATTAAAAAAATATTAACTGAAAACTTTTAAATATGGAATATATATTATACAATGACTTATATTTATAATTCTCTAAAAACGGATCAAAACTTGCCCAAAAGCCAGATCTAAAAAGGGTTCTCTTAGCAGGGGAAGGGTTCAATGTGAATTATGAAAGTGTTAATTTAAGTGAAATGAACCTTTTCAACCATTCCAAAGCCACTGATTTTAAAAATATTATATCAGACATTTGAGGATTGAAACGGGAAAAATAAGGTAGAAGTTAGTTTCCATCTTTATAAATTGTATACATGGATGCAAACATGTAAGAAAAAAATGTTAACACTTGCTACTTCAGAACTTATGACATCCAAATAACTTCAGTTTCCTTTTTTGGATTTTTTTTTTCCACTATAAATCCCGATTGATGCATCTAAGCAATACAAAAAAAAAAAAAAAAAGTTGAAAAAGTCAAACCTTACCATGTAAAATACTCTGAAATAGGAAGGGATAAGGACAACAGCGCATACTTTCCAATTTAGAAGGACCATTTGCACTCTGAGTGTTGAGAAATTTTATTTCATCTTAACCTTATATATCATAAGAAATAGCATCAACAATAGCAATGCTGTAAAATGACAGCTATTACATGTCTCTAGATTAATTAATAAAGTTTCTATAGTGATTCCAAAACTTCTCTATGCCTGTTTTTTTGGTCCGTTTATGAGAAGATTACAGCTCTCTAATTTGAAAATAAATTGAGAATACAATTTCATATTTTTCTAAGGATATATCAATAATGTACCTGTGCCAAATTTCCAGAAAATCTAAGATAGTGAGGTTCAGATAGGGCTGAGCTGACTTATAATAATAATCCATTTATTATTATAGAAGTAAACCATAACCCTAATAAAATGTCAGGAGAACCTTCAAAAACACTTAGCCCCTAAAAAGCAGGTATGTTTAATCAGGGAAAAACGTGAAGGTTGAGTTATATTTTGGGCAAATCAACTCCGTGCATAACTTTTGGCATAGAAACAATACTTCTTTACAAAGTACTGAACCCAACACAGATCTTTTTTTTATTTTTAATAAGTCTGATTATACTCATATAATAAGTATAATCATTATATTTAATAATTTCATTTCTACTCGTCAATATAAACTAGCTAAAAGAACAATTAATAAATAAAGACTAACTTTTGAGGATTCGCCTTTGCATCATCATTATCACTCGCTAAACCTCCAAATAAATAAACCTTATTCCCAATCAATGTAAAACTGTGTCCAAGTCTAGGACATGGAGGTGGATGATTTTGAGGTGGCCTCGGCCGTAGGCGTTTCCATTCCCATCTGCTAGCCTAAAAAAAATAAAATGTAGAACATAAAGTGATAAAACATTACATAAAATAATAACATAATTTAATAAAAAAAACCTTAAACCTTAGATAAAAAAAAAATTTTATGAGACAAAAATTCACTCCATATAAAATATATGTATATATATTTTTTTAATTCAGTATTTTGTAATTAATATATACAATTACGGGAGGTCCGGCTCCATCAAATACATCATTACATAAAAAAGAATCAAAATAAAGTACTACACAAATATAGAAATAAATCGGAGAAATATTCTTTTTTCATGAATAAGATAAACTAGATATATAAATTGTGATGTAAAAAAACAAAACAACAAAACAGAAAATGAAAAAAAACTATTACAATATAAATACAAATAATTCACTTTAAAGATATAAAAAAAAGTCAAATAAATATACATTCAAGGAATTTTAAAAATAGCAATAATATATTCCTACAATACAATCTAGCAGATTGCAACAATACATATGCTCAACTTCTTAGTCGAAGATAACAATGTCTGGTGGTAAACATAAACATTGCTGGCATTTAATCATTCATAATGAATGATCTTATTTTAAGGCTCCCTACTGTAAAATAAAATATATGATTTAACTTGGCGAGGTTTTCTATTGTTGACAAATTACCGAGCATTAAATTGTTATCTTCTATAATATATTTCTCTATGTAATGTTCCCTAAAGTCTTTATACATCGGACATTCTATTAAAAAATGATATAAATTTTCTGGCTTTTGGAGGTTGCATATAGTACAGTTTTCTTCTCCTTCTAGTGTATAGGCCGTTCCATTAAGATAAAATAAAGGTTTCGTTAAATTAGCAACCCTAAGTTGGCTGACTGTTTATTGTTTGTTCTTATGTTTAAATAATCTTCTCCATGGTTTAGACTACTCATGTTTCTGTACACTGAATTATATTTTGAATTGACAATTGAATTTATATCGTTGCAAATGGAGTGATTTTCAAATCTATTTATAATGTCTTTGAGGTATAGTTGAGCAATTTCGGGATTAGGGTCATTATGGTGTTGTAAAATTGAATCTGAATCTACTTTTAATAATTTTCCTTTTAGCTGAGAGTACCGATTAAAAACCATACTGCGATTATTGTCCAATTCCTTTAATCTACTGTAGCAAATCCTGTCCTGGAAACCACACATCTCCCAAATTTCTCTTAGCACTATCTTCACCCTAAAACAGTTCAATCGTCTACGTTATCTCCTTCCATAAAAGTCCTGTCAATTCCTAGTTTCCTCCCTTGTTTTCCCCCACTTCGACTATGGCTGTATGGTGTACGGTGGACTCTCAGGAAATTTCGAGGCCAAACTTAAAACGCCTAATGAATTACAAATTAAGATTTGTTTTCGGGATCTCAAGGGATACGCATATTACCCAGTATTACACCGAGTTGAGGTGGCTCATCGACCCTCCTATATTTTTCACAGCTTACAATTCAAATACTCCATATAATCCCGTCCCACTAGATCTCATACTTCCGACCTCTATCCTCCTGCTCACCGAACTGCTGCGTTTGACATATCCTTTGCAATTCAAGTCGCCTCCCTCTGGAATTCCATCCCTGCTGATATTTGACACACACACATAAGTTTCCTCTTTCAACACCTACTCCTTTCTCAATCCGACTGATTACGAAATATACCTAACAGAAATATCTAAGTACCCCCAGAGACTACCTCAATTTATTTAGGTTATTTTAGTTTCTTATATATATGTACAATTTTCTTGTTCTTTTCTTTCTCTTCTTCAGTATTTTTATTTTTAATCAACTCTTATTGTAAATATATAATTTAATTGTGACCACACAGACATACGACCTATACTTATAATTTGTTCTTAAGGGACTACAGTCTCAGAATAATAAAATATTTTTTTATTCATTTCATTTTTCATTCAAATCCGTGGGATTCTATCTTCAGGCATTTTTAGTAGAGCTATCCACCATCTATACATTCTTTTAACAACTTCTACTTCCACAGTTGTTATTCCTGTTTCCAAATGTACAATGTAGTTTGGTATATATTTGGACCATTTGTAAACCTGTTTGACATATTTCTTTGTGAGTGATTCTAAATTAGGACAATACTGCAGACCCCATTTTTCTGAATAATATAATAATGCCGAACGAATGATTGATTGATACAGTTTATGTTTTGAGTCCCAATTTTCAGATTTAATTCCTTGTAAAACAATCAGAGCTGTTGCTATAGCGATTTTTGTTTTTTTTATTGAAATATTTGTAGCTTGAAGGTATTTTCCTGTAGAACTACACTGTATTTCTAAGTAGGAATAATTGTTCACTATTTGAATGGGATTTCCTTCATATAAAAACGGCTTCAGTGCTTTTGTTCGCCCACCACCTTTGTGAAATGGTACTATTTTCGTTTTTTCTTTTGGCAATCTATCCATGAATCCGCAAGTATCACTATATCTTCCGCAAATAATAACATTAGAAGTTCTTTTGAGCATAAACATAATGTCCTTTAAGTCTCAGGTTGATACTTATAATTGAGCTCAAAGCAAAGATGCTATCTCTGCATCCCCTGTTTTTATGAAAACCATTTTGTTCTCCTGTCAGTAATTTTTTTATTTCTGACCATTACATAAGAAGGCTGTTCAGAATGTAAGTGAATATTTTGGTTATTGTATTTAATAGAGCTATAGTTCAATAATTGATCGGGTCATTTTTGTTACCTTTTTTGAAAATTGGTTTTATTATTACTTTTGCCCAGCATTGGGGATGTCTTCTTGTTTATAGACTTCATTCATAAGATTGAGGATATAATGTTCCCACTGTTAATAGTTTAAAATATTCATAAGGTATCCCGTCAATGCCAGGGGATTTATCTCTTTTCATGTGATGAATAGCTATTTGCAATTCTTCTAACGATATTTCAGTCAAGGAATGGATTTATTATCTTTAGCGTTGTATCTATACCAGGATTTGGAGAGGAATAGAAATTTCTATAGAAATTCTCAAAAGTTTCTGATTAAAAGAATCATTTCAGAAGCATAAATGTACACTCCATTAAGAATTTTTTGTGTTGCCTATGTAATTAGTTTTAGTTTTTATCTAGTTTAATTATTAATGTGTTAGATTTATTCCTAGTTCTTGTTTTATTTTGTAATTGGAAATAAAGTATTTAACAGAAGTTAAATATATTAAATAAAAATTTATCATAAAATATATTTCAACAATTCTACCATTTAAAATATATATGTGGTGTTTTTTTTTCTTTCTTAATTTTAAAATCAGATGACCATGAAACTTGACAAATTACAGTGAAATCAAATAAAAATGGCAAAATACAGATTCAATATATTAAAGAAAATAAACACTAGAGGAGAAACTCGAAGGACTGTAGAAAAAAACTAATAGTAACTACTTCTTTTCTAAATCTCTGTTTAGATTTAACTTTATATACCAAGGGCTGACAGTAGTTATAACAGGGCTGAGCTGTTACTCGTAGATTAAACTCAGGTAACTGAATCTTGGTTAGAACCATGAATGGTCCTGCTGGCACTTAACTCTCTTTTATTAAATTTTTTTCGTTAACCTTGTTTGATTTCAATTTAATGACCGGTGCCGTTATTGACAGTTAAAGGTGGATGAATATAGAGACTGTGATTGTTTTTAACAACGAAGTTTACCCCATATAAAAGATAGCCACTGTATATTTATTTCCTAATGTATATCTATTAGAAAAATCTGGTGCACGCAACACACAACTTTCACTTACAGCTCAACTTTGAATAGAAATTATTTTCTGACCATGTTGGGCTATTATAAAATTTTTTAATTGCATTTTTAACTGAGCTAAAGCTAAAATATTGTAGCTAAAAAATCATAAATACTATTAAAATAACAAAAGTCCTATTTATTATATCACCGGTTGATTATGGATTGTTCGTTCCGTTGATTATGGATTGCATGACTTGTTAGTAATTAAACTGTTATTTTCCATTGCAAAGTTTATTAAGGAGCGTAGGGAGTTGGCAGCCCCATCGCAAATCCAGTTTGGATGCAATCAGCTCCTTTAAGGGGTATCTGTTGCATGCAGATGCCTGGGGATCAGCGCCCTCACGGGATACCACAGCTCAGTACACCATGCACACTCACCAGAACAGTACACATACATTACACACCTTACACTTCAGACAAAGGCAATAACAGTATACACTCTAGGGCTACCTTCCCTAGGAAGCCCTACCATTTTTGACAAACGGTGCCACATCAAAAAAAATGAAAGGTAAATAATTGTAAAATAGATAAATTGGAAAGATATTGTTAAATAAAAATTAATATAGAAAATGTGCATAATTTGAGTAAAAATAAAAATATTACTCCGATGATGGGAAAATCGTCCCGAAACGTAAGAGACAACAAGCATAAATAAAAAAATATGAAGAAAATTGGAAGTTTTATTGCCTAAAATTAAAAAAAAAATATTTATATTTTTTTCACCACTCTCCATTACCTTCTACAACTTTCTATATTAGATATTGTTTGGGAGATTCATTTTCAACCTGGAGAAGTATTTTTATTTTTTTCTCCTGTATTTAATTATCAAATTCTTCCAAAAGTTATATTTAGCATTTTTCATAACTCCTAACAATGATAAATAGTTACTATTTATAATAAAACAAATTAAAGGTACTTTAGAGGAAGACGAATATGAAAATTGGGCACTTAATCCCTGTAAAGTGACATCAACGGGGATAAGACCTAAATGGTATTAAAGACCACTTAATTATACAATGATACATCGAGTTTAATCAAAATTGTTAGAGCTATTTTTGAGAAAATTGTAAAAATGTGTTTCAGCGTTGATATAAAGTGGCACTTCCAGTTAGCCGATTTTAAGGAAAAAGTTGCCAGGACATCTAAGGCGTATATCTATCTTAAATATGTAATATCAGTTTCGTACGACTTTTCCATTTTGAGCTAGAGTGTTCACATATA